CCTCTGTACTAAGTGGTGCGTTTAAATGCATGTTCATGGAAAAGCAATACAGAGCTGGTGGCTAATGATCAGACAATGGTTCATAAATCTAACTAGTGAATGCTTATGGAAATAAGTAAAGTTTCTTTGACCTGCTGCCAAAAGCTTCTACCACTTGTGTTTTGCAAGGTCGAGTTGTTTTTATAATAGCCAATTCCATTCTCCACACAATGAAGACCAAAGCAATGCCTCCCCCCCAGTTTATTACTATCAGAAACCCCTGAAACTCTCACCTCTCTGAATGCTTATAGCTTTGATGAAACCTGATGGTGTAAAGTCATGGATGCCTCCTATGCTATTAAGATAGCTTTACTGAACTCGTAATGAAAAGGAGGGAGAGCAAGTTATTCGGGATCTGTCAGTCTTTGATATCTCTGTTCAGCTTGTAATTACATCTGGCAACATGTTCTGACAGCAAATCAGTGGTCTCTGTTTCTGCATAGTCCCAGGCTTTTGAGAAAAAGAATAGGATTCATGGGAGGGAGGAGTTTCTTTCCTTATCTAATCCTGGATAAAGAGGTGTACTAGTTGCTGTATGTATGTTGAAAGTAATGAATAACTGCGCTACTTGGCAGCTGCTAACATGTCCTATAGAAACTTCTACCATACACAAACTTGCAAGTTCCTGCTACAGGATATGTAGTTTTAAAACCAAGTTAAATCTTGCTATATTTATTCAGTTCTAATGCAATTTTGATCACTTGGTTTTTAAAGGCACTGCTTAAAAGTTTCTGTCAAAAATCCATAACTGTATGAACACACTTAAACTCTGTTCTTTTTTTTTTTTCCACAATATTTTTGAGTAGTGAAGTGGAAAGAGGAGCTTCTTACTCAGTGGGTAGTATGCTGGTGGGACTTGTCGCCAGAAAATGATGTGGAAGCTGAAAACTGATGTGGGTTCCAACAAACTGGATAAACTCGAGGGCAGGAAATTCATTGTGAAATAGTGAATACACAGAAACCACAGCTGGCTCAGGAAGTCCTTGATCCCAAAATAACTGGAAGAGTGTTCTTATGTTCTGTGTCCTATGGTGAACTCTCGTGCTGTTGAATCAAGGTAGGTAGGTGAACTTGTTTGTTCATGTCTTTTGAAGTAGTATTTGTCTAGAGAGATATTGGTGCTGCTTGTGAGTGTGGGTTTTGTCCAATGTGTTTGTAGTTTTACTCAGCTCTGCTAGTCTAATAGTGGCTAAGTTTGGGTTACCTCCCTGTTGTGTCAGCATCCTCCTGCAGAAACTGGCTGCTCATAGCTTGGACGGACGCACTCTTCACTGGGTAGAAAGCAGCTGGGTGACCAGGCTGAAAGAGTGGTGACAAACAGAGTTAAATCCAGGTGGCAGCCAGTCACAGGGCTCATACTGGGGTCAGTTCCCATTAACATCTTTATGAATGACCTGGACGAGGGGATTGAGTGCACCCTCAGTAAGTTTGCAGATGACACCAAGCTAGGTGGGAGTGTTGATCTGCCTGAGGGAAGGAAGGCTCTGCAGAGGGATCTGGACAGACAGGCTGGATCAATGGATTGAGGCCAGCTGTTTTAGGTTCAACAAGGCCAAGTGCCAGGTCCTACACTTGTCTCCAAGCCTGTAGTGTTGCAGGGGGTTGTTGTGACCCAAGTGTCTGGTGGAGAAAGGACCGGGGGGTGTTGGTTGATAGCTGGCTTAACATGAGCCAAGAGTGTGCCCAGGTGGCCAGGAAGGCCAGCATCATCCTGGCCTGCATCAGGAACAGTGTGGCCAGCAGGACTAGGGCAGGGATTGTCCCTCTGTACTGGGCAATGGTGAGACTGCACCTCAAATCCTGGGTT